CAAGATCTCATATCTTCTCACTGATTTACTTTTATAGCCACTCAATGTTATCTCCAGTAAAGAAGAAAGACCATAATAAAGGAAAGAGAAGAAGTCAACTTAATTTTTTTTTTTTTCAGTTGGAGTCTCACTCCGTCGCCCAGACTGGAGTGTAGTGGCTGCTCCCGGCCACCGCAGCCTCGACCTGCTGGGCTCTGGCGATCCTTCCGCCTCAGCCTTCCGAGTAGTGGGAATTACAGGCATGCGCTACCACGCCCAGCTGATTTTTTGATTTATTGTAGAGATGAGGTCTCGCTGCCCAGGCGGGTCTCAAACCCGCGGGCTCAGGCAATCCGCTCACCTCAGCCTCCCAAAGGCGCAGGATTACAGGCTGAGCCACCGAGCCCAGCAAGTCAACTTAATTTAAAACCAAAAACAATACAGAAATTTAACAAAGCCAAAAGCTGCCTTTTTAAAAGACCAATAAAATTCAGAAATGTCCAGCCAGCTGAGCAAGAAAAAAAGAGAGGAAACACAAAATACCAATATTAAGAATAGGAAAGGGAAATTCACATGAGATTTAACAGACATTAAAAGGATAATAAGAACACAGCAAGATCAAACATATAACAGAAAATATGACCACTTAGCGTAAAGGAAAAAAAAATTTCTTGAAAGACACAAACTACAAAAACTTAATCAAGAACAAGTAGATAAACTGAATAGTCCTATGCATAATAGAGAAATAAAATTTAAAAAAAATTTTGCTTTAAATTTCAAAATTTTGTAGGAAGTTTAAAAACTCCCTACAAAACAAAAACAAAAACAAAAACAAACAAACTCCAGGTCCAGATAATTTTACTGAAAAATTCTATCAAACACTCAAGAAAGAAAAAGTCTAATTCTACAAATACTCTTCCAGAAAATCAAACTGGAGGAAACACTTTCTAACTCATTTTATAAACCCATCATTACACTGATAAAAAACCAGAAAAAGACACTGCAAGAAAAGAAAATCATAGACTAATATCTTCATAAACACAGAGGCAAAAATTCTTAACAACATTTTATTAAATAGAAACTAATATTGCATAGAAAGAATTGTGCACCAAGATCATGTAAAGATTATTCCAAGAATGTAAGGTTGATTTAAAGTTTAAAAATTCAATCAGTACAATTTGCCGTACTAATGGATATGAAAAGCAAAATTACAGGATTACCTTAATATAAGCAGAAAAGACATTTGACAAAATCCAACACACATTCATGATGAAAACTCTCAGTATAAGAACAGGGATAAAACATAACTTCTTCAATTTGGTAAATAATTACCTATAAAAATATTTCAGCTAACATCATAATATTGGGAATAAGCTAAAAATATCTGCTCTTACTAATTATAGTCAACACTGTACTAGAGACTTTAGCCAGAGCCATAAGTCAAGAAAAATAATAAAAGACATCAAAATTAGAAAGAAAGGAGCAAAGCTATCTTTATTCTCGATTAGAATATCATTTATTTAAATAATTATAAGGAATTTATATAAAAGAAGTAAATTTAGAAAAGCTAAAAATATAAGAATATCTTAAAAAAACATGTATATCTGTATACTATTACACATAATGAGAAATTGGAACAATAAAATCATTTAAGATAGTAATGAAAATTCCAAGAATCAAATTTGACAAAAAATATGCAAAACCTGCTCACTAAAAATGACAAACATTGCTTTGAAAAATTAAAAAATACCTTAATAAGTAGAGATGTGTATCATGTTCATGGTCATAAGATTCAATATTTTTTTCATTTTTTCCCAAATGCATATATACATTTAATAAATTCCAACCCAAAAGTCCATCAGGCATTTCTCGTATAGAAAATTTTTATTCAAAACTTAAATAGAACTGAAAAGGAGCTAGAACAACTAAACAATTTTTAAAAAAATAAATAAGTTGAAGGACTTACATTAAAATATTTTAAGTTATATTACAAAATACAGTGACCAAAATGTATGGCACTAGTGTAATAATAGATATAAAGATCAGTGGAAGAGAATCATGAGATTAAACATATGTATCACTCACATATGGATATATATTTTGGCACATAAAGGTGTCAAAGCAATTCAATGGGGAAAAGATAATTTTTTCAACAAGTAGATAAAAAATTAGATAACCACATACAAACAAATACAAAGAAAGTTAATCCCTATAATCACATCATATGTTTAAAATAACTTGAAGTGAATTACAGACTTTAATGTAAGATATCTAGAAGAAAACTGTGCAGTTCTAGGCTGACTGGGGATTGCAAAGATTTCTTAAATGAATTTTTTTTAAAAGCCCAAACTACAAAAGAAGGTAATCAATAAATGGAACTATCTCATCAAAATTGAAAAAAAACACAAAACACAATAACTTTGCTCTTCAAAATATACTAAGAAAATGAAAAAGAAAGTTACAAATTAGGAGAAAATATTGCAATATTTATTTCTGATGACTGACCTTTACCTAGAATATTTAAGAACCATAACAACTAAAGAATAAGATAAACACCTCAATTTGGAAATGGGGAGAGGATTGGAACAGAACATTCACCAAAGATATATGAATTGTAAATATGCATGAAAAAATATTGGCAATTTCATTAGTATTCAAGAAAGTGCAAATTAAAACCATAAAGAGATGCTACTATACGCCTAGTGTTTTTAGGGTCAAGGTTTCAAGGAAAAGAATGTGGGTCTAAACTGACATTAAAAGCAAAATTAAAAAGCAAAACAAAAACTTCCTTTCTATATGTCACTGCTCATTTTTATACTGAGCAGGCTTAATTTAGTTTAATTTAAAATTTTACTTTTTAATTTTTAAAATGTTTTCAGTTATTTTTTCCATAACTAAATGTATTTACTTCACATCCTCTAATGCAGTTGCAGAAAAATCAACAAAAGTCTTGGCATATTTTATTGAGGTAGAAAGTTAAAACTAAATCTGAAAATTTTAAACTTATTTCATAGTTTTATAATGTATATATATTTTGGTCATATGTTGATTTAAAATATTTGGTAAATGTAAGAAATTTTTTGTATTAAAAACAAAATTCCTTCAAATAACTGAATTTGCATTTCTCAACAGATATTTGTTTTCATTCAATAATCAACTGAAAATGATTAATTCTAGCCCAAGAACACAGTCTCAAAACAAATTGCTGATCTCCCACTCTTTAGGAAATCTACTCTGTCATCGAGAAAGTTCCAAAGAGGAAGGAAAACAATGAATTTATTCCACAAAACATACAGAGATCTGAGAAGAAATTACCAGACCCCATGATGAGATAAGGACATGTCATGGAGTAAGAGAAAAGATTTCCTAGTCGTAACAGAAGAGAATAAAAAAGCAAAGCCTGTACAGATGATGACCAGGAAACACTAAGGCCACCAGAAAGAAAGAGGGGATGTAAGGATTAGGTACGGGAAAAAGGGAGAAGAAAGTGAAAGGGCAAATTTGATACTATGGTGGTTGCATATCAAGAATAGGGCCACTTTCTCCACAATTAGGAGGAATTTGGGGCAAGTGAAAATGAATTAAGCAGGAAAGGATGAAAGTACCTAATTACTTTGTCTGTAATTGGAATTTTAATTGGACTCAACATAAACTTGTATCCTACCTGCCTTGGCTAGTTTAGAGAATAAAAACAAAACTTCTCCATAGTAAGCCCGAATCTATTTCATTGTTCCACATCATCATTTGCTTATTTCTGCTGTCCTTGCTGCCCATGTCGTTTCACACCTTACCAATATGTCAAGATAACACCTTTCACTAACCAGATAGAAACTGTCGGGTTGGCAGTGTGCTGTTTTTTTGTTTGCTTGTATGGCCTTCAACATGTGGGTGTGATATAAAATCTAAATGTGTAACATTAAAATTAGATTGGATCTTGGAAATCACCTAGCAATATGTCTTTATTTTTCCATAGGAGGAAACTGAGACCCAGATAAATTAGATATTTGCTTAAGGTCTTTTAACTAGTGGTATTTTTATAAAATAATGATTTTACAGACTCATCTTAGTACAGTCATGAATTTTAATTCATCTGTCTTGTCTTAGAGGCACAAGCTTTAGCCTGAAATTTGTGAAAATGGACTTGTTCTATAAAGTATAGCATGAAATTTGTTAAATCAATATTGTACAACTATTTTAAAAGCATTGTAAAACATATCTTTATTATTAAAACTCCACAATGGAATATTCATATATTGACATTAACTCTTTTCTTTGATTCTTGTCATTGTTGAGACAGAGTCTTGCCCTGTCATCCAGGCTGGAGTGCAGTGGCACGACCATAACTCACTACAATCTCAAAATCCTAGGCTCAAGTGATCCTCCCACCTCAGGCTTCTGCATGAGTAGCCGGGAGGACTACAGGTGTGAGCCACCACACTTAGCTAATTTTAAAATTTTTTTGTAGAAATAGGTTCTTGCTATGTTGCATAGGCTGGTCTTGACTTCCTGGGCTCAAATGGTCAGTCTCCCAAAGTGCTAGGATTACAGACGTGATCCATCACACCTAGCCTAACATTCTCTCTTCAATATTGTTTTTAGTTTTAGTGAGAATGCATGTTTTTTCTTAATTTTAAGACAATGGTATAGTTATAAAAAGAACCAAAGGTAAAAGGAAACTTTTTACATCACATAAAAATCAAATCATGGGCAACCTCTTTGGGTCCCTTCCCACTATGGGAGCTTTTCTGTCCTCTCAATAAATCCCGCTTTTAAAAAAAAAAAAATCAAATCTTGAAAATTGGTCGTCTCCATATCCAAAGAATCATACTCTATGGGGCTCAAACTAAAGATTCATAATGTCATTTAATTGATATTTACTGATAAAAATTGAAAAATTGTTTTCTATAGCTTAATGTGGGAAAAGTTAGTCATTGTCATCAAAATATGAATTATGTTTAAAATATATACACTTTTAAGTTTAGAGGAACAAAATCCATTCAATTCCAAAACAGTGTACTTACTGATTCAGGACAGGTGTGTAGGCAGTTTTATCTTCATCAATAATAGTGACCATCAGTGTAATAAGTTGGGGCCAAAAATCCAAATTCTTGGTGGTTGGTCCCTGATCTTCCCGAGGAATGTCCTGTTTCTTACTCTGTTCACAAGTTCACGCAACATGCAAAAGAAAAGGTTAAATGGGATGACTTTAGTTAGATGTCATTGTCAAAAGGAAATTTTTAAAAATGATAATGGAAAACTCTTAGGTCATGTGAGTCAAAGCTATTAAACTCAAGTTTCCTTTCTTCATTGAATGGTATCCATAGATGAATTCACAGTGAACAGGCTTGTATTTCTAATCACTCTTTTTTAGAAGGTAAGAGGGGTCTGGATTAGAGGTTTGTCTGACTATTATAGTTTATTACCTTAGAAATTATTATTGTATAAATTATCCCTTTTATCCTTTTTCTAAGGATATTGAATTTTATTTGTACAAAGGCATGTGAGTGTGTGTAAAACTTAACCTGTCTAAATGTTTAGTTCAAAGTCACGTTGGTAGTAAGTATGCTGAACTGAAGGCTGCTTGTTTGCAAAATCAATACTGTTAAAAATTCTACAATAATATACAGGCTACATGAATTACCTTGTCTCCCATCCTTCCCACAAATTTATATTGTTAACTAAAACGTTAAATCTACCTTTGCCTTTTTTCCCTTCATTTAAATCATCTTTGAATCTTTCTCAATCTACCATACTGCTTGGATTCTTCAATTCTCAATTTTTCAATTTCTAGAGAATTCTTCAATTCTCTAGAAAGAATGTTGTGGAATGAACTAAATTCACTTTTAGGCAGAGTATGATCACAATATTGAAGATTTCACAAATACATTTTATACTCAGCATATGCAATTCTTTCCAACATACAGATAAGTTCTTCTTGTTATTTATTTTGATGAGCATTCTTAGAGCACTTAATTTAAATTAACTTGCTAAAATTAGGCAAAAAAGAATACAGGCAGACATAATTTTTACTTAACTATACAAATAAATAGGAAGCATACCATTTCTCTGGCAACTTTTGCTAAATCATTTAAAAGTTTGTAGGTCCAGGGTATCTAAAAACTTAAGTTTGTGGTTCTGGAAATTTAAAAAAAATCTGATATAAAATGTGCATTAAGTTTTATCTGGCACAATCTATTGCCATATCCAAATGCCATGTCTTCTACCATGACCAGGAGATTAGCCACCCTCTACTGAATGGCTATCTATGCATATCTTTATGTGCTGATTGCTTTGTGTAACCATATTTTGATGAGCCATCATTCTATTATTAGTCTCATTTAAGTTAAAATACAACTCCATAGTGAATCCACTTACTACTAGAGACCTCCACACATAGACTATAACGTACCTTTAGGAATATGTATTTCCCTAGGTTGCTTCCAAGAACTTTTGATTTACCTTTCTGTTCAATATGCAACAAATGTTAAAACTTAGAGAGCTAAATTTAAATGATCAAAAAATTAGTGACTGACACATATTACTTTAAATAGCCAGAATGAAGTATAAAAAATTTCCAAAGGATCTTAAGAACCTTGTGTATATGATCCCTGAGAACCACTTGAAACTCCTTGTCAGGCTTCCTCTTTTGAAGTCTTGAGGTATATCAAGGTATGTAAGTTAATCTTTAGGAAGAAAAAGGCAGTAATACAGGCTTACAAATATCCAGCTTTGCTGACATTTAAGTTAAAAATTTCACTGACATTTATATTTCTTTTGTGAGTAGAATTTTATTATTGTCACAATAATGTAATCATTTATGCATTATACTAAGCTTAATAGATTTCCAAAGCATTTAGAAATCTGGAGAACCTGGTAAGTTGTGAAGGTAGTAAATAAAATTAGCTCTGATGGTCATGGTAGGGAGATATTTGGTGTTAGAATACCATCATTAATCATCACGATGTGTAATCAAACTCTGTCTTACATATTTTAAGTATTGTGATTAAATGAAGGGAAATTATTATAGACGATATGTCTAACATTACAGCCACTTCTATCATTTTCAAAGAGTGATATGGAAAGGACAGACTAAAGTAGTTGAATATGCATTAAATCCTGCCTCTTACCTGTCACAAACTGTATTTCCATCATTCTTTTTCATGACACCAGAGGATTATTAATGGTGCCATTTTTGCATCAAATTCTGTGTTTTACATTAGAATAAACCAAACTGGATGCCGAATTGTTATGTTTTTACATAACATACAACAGTATCATAAACCAGGCTTTCCCTATATTAATAGTGTATTGTAACCGACCACACGCTTACAATCAGGTGTATTATATATAGTGTTTAGTCAATTTCTTAAGAGTTTTTCTAGATGACACTTTATTAATACATCCTATAAATCTACTAGGATATTTGACCTTATGATTGGAAAAGCTAAGATAATGTAGTAGAAATTAGGAAAATGAGTAATAAATGTTCTCACAATTACTGAGTCCCTTATGAATTAATATTTATCATAATAAGAAACATAGTGATTATAAACTCATTTATTAACAACAAATAAAACTATAAACCAGTTATAAAAACATGACTAGTAGATGAATTATAATTATAGTGATTATTGTAATAGAGGCTAGAAATAATTACTGAGAAAACAGACTTGAAAGAAAGTCTGTGAGAGTATAATAGAGAGAGGATTTTTTTGAAAGTGGAAAATTGCCAGGTGTAGGATCAGATAAAGAAAGCTTTCAGTGGTTATGTTTACAATAGATATTTCACTACTGGAAGACTTATACAGACATGCAAATGAGACGTACACTACATTTTCATAATATCAAATAAGAAAAAATAAAAATATTCTATCAAAAAGATCAATATGTAGAGAAAATCATTACATGCATAAGAAAGTATCATAATAATTGTATCTTCATATTAATGGAACTCATGCTACACAACATTGCAAAAAATACTTTTGTGCCATTAGATGCTTTCACTCAATAAGCATATAATTGGGAAATACAATCTTTAAGGAGCTGTCCCAACAAGGATTGGAGGGAGACATTTGGTAGAGACATGCAAAGATGGGATATTTAAATGTGAAAGCATATGACAGACACATACTGTAGTTGAAGAATTACTAATAAAATAGGCTATAACAGCGTTTGATGAAGTGTGTTTCAGAGGACAGAGTCCTCACCATTATACGATGGAACCAACGAAGTGTTTCTTGAACAGTTCTATTGGATATTAATGAGTATCTCATACACACAAACACACACACACACACACACACACACACACACACACACACACACTCAATGTTCAAATATCTTAGGAAAGCATTTGCTTAAACAAAGTTAAATAGCTTATTTTCAAACTTCTTGAAGCCTTTAATATGCCACATGCATTATAATTCTCTAAGACATTGGTTCTCAAACTTCAGTGTATATCAGCATCACTGGGAAAGCTTACCAACAAATTGATTGCTGGGTCCCGTGCCCAGATTCTTGATTCAGTAGATGTAGAAAGGCCTAGGAATCTGCTTTTATAATGACCTCTCAGGTAATGCTGGTGCTGCTGGTCCAGGGATTAATTTAAGAATCACTTCTCTAAGAACTAATACTACAGCATTAGTTTCTCAATTGGACTTTAACTTGATAATGCACTCTACTCAGAATTTCCCCATCTCATCTTGTGAAACTTTCTACAGGATGTCCCTCCAAACATACTCTGAGAAACAGAAGACTAGAGAGATAAATGCAATGGTCAGATTATGAAAAATCTTGTATGTCATGTCAAGAAGTTTGCATTTACACCAAACTTGATAACGTTCATTGAAAGATTTTAAACAAAGGAGTACTTGGTTACATTTGTGTTTTAAATTACTTGGCAGTAGCAAGAGTTTCATGTTAAATAATTAATAAGTAAATTTGGTAGAACTCATTGACTAGGTGATGAGAGAGAGATAGAAAGAGAGAGAGAGAGAGAGAAAGAGAGAGAGAGAGAGAGAGAGAAAGAAAGAGAGAGAGAGAGAGAGAGAGAGAGAGAGAGAAATCCAGAAGATAATTAGGTAGACCAGTCTGAAGTTTCAAAATCATTCTGAACTATTGATGTAGATAGAAGAATTCCAGGATATAGTGGTAGCTGAAATAATGAAGTAATTACTTAAAGAAAGAGGGGAGAATATATGACCACAGGTAAAACCTTGGGAGAAAATCTAAAAAAGAAAAAGAATAAAATTTTGTAAAGGAGAGAGGTCCCTGTGAAATGGAAGAGACTGGAATCCAGGGTATAGTGTATATTAACTTTAAGCATAAATTTAAAAAATCACTTTCTCTCAGTCAGATGATAAAGAGTCTTGCAGATAAGTCTTGTTAATGGCTAGAAAAGAAAGCTAGGAATTTCCATCTCTAGAGAACATGTGTTAAGACAGGGTGCAGGAGGAATTGTAAACATTTGGAATGACACCTGTAAGGAAGGACAGAGAGTTGGACCTACAGTGGCACTGCCACGCAGCTTGAGAGCTCTGGAGAGGGTGAGTCTCTGAACTTATAGTGAAACTACTCTGGGCCATTCTGAGTTTTCTCCAGTACTGGATCTTAGAAGCCAAGAAAACAGTGTTAGATTTGCTACTGGAGTTTACAATGAGAGCAGGAAAGGAGAATGACATTTGAATGTTTGGCAAGAATATTTGAAGTTCCAGAACAAATGTATATTTTGTTCTGAAGGAAAAAATAAAATAAATTGGGGGGAAGGTGAAGAAATATATCTAGAGAAAGTAATTAGCGAGAAAGGCAGAAGGACAGGAAAGTTGTGACCAGTAGGATTTTTTTGTTTAGCCATTCCGACCACGGGAATGGGAGATAAGAATAGAGATTAGATAAAGGACTCTAGAGCTGAGGTCTAGGAGAAACCGAGAGCACTGTGGTATCCCTGAACATAACTTACAGAATTTGTGTGCTCATGTGTGTGCATAAATAGGTGACTGCTGCAATGTGCACAGTAATACCACTTCATTTAGTTCAAGGCAGGAAAGTGATTATTGAAGGTCTTGGCAACAAGTTTTATTGATGCAAAGAATTTGAAAAATAGGGACAGGGTAGCTACAAAGACACACAAAAAAGGAAATAGAGTTGAGCCTGAAT